ACGCCTCAGAATGATTTTTACTTTATATTAAGAAAAAAAAGGAAACGTGTCTGGAACTAATATGGCTGCCACTGAACCTTGAATTTAGCCGGGTTTTGGTCGAGTAACGGTTAATGTGACTGATTATCTCTGAGGACAGTTTCTATGACAGCGGCGGGTCGCGAAGCCGGTTTCGGCGGTTGCTCCCGTTTACTACACATTTAAGGCTGCTTTCTGAACTTGTATACAAGTTTTGGGCTTTTAGAAATACGAGCTAAACTTGCCGGAATCGTAACTTGAAGCACGCGCCGTTGAGGCGTCTGTGTGATGCGCGAGACAATCGGCTCCACATCAAAACTTCTTTCAAGCCTCGCGCTCGGGGGAACAAATAAAACTCCTTCAAAAAAAAAATTCGGTACCCACCTGAAATAATGCACAAAAGGTGATATGTCGCAACCTTGCTCTGCCAGAGGTAATTCCGCGGAGAGGACGTTAACATTTTTCAAAAGTAGTGCAGTCTCCTGCTCCCCGTCCACGGCGAAGGATGCATGCCAATTTGAACAGTGCTGAACAGTGGAACCTCCTCAGCAACAACTCCGAACTGCATGTGGACTGTACCATCTGCCCCGCACCGAGCGGGGGGACCTGGGGCACACCTGACAATGGAATGAGCTGACCGTGATCACGGTTCCACAGCAACCTCCCCCCGAAGGATCGATCCATTACTATACACATTACGTCATTTTTGTTGATAACTCGACATGTATTGATACATCATATCACTTCATAATTTTCTGTTCTCTTTGTTGTATTTGGTGAAATACATGTTCATATTTTAGAGCTGCCAAAACAACACGAATTTAGGTTGTTTTTTTTTTTTACTCAACACAGCACACATTGATTAAAATGGGAAAAAAATGTTTATTTTAAAATATTGGATTCATGTTGTTGATGTATGGGACTCTCTTTTGAATTTATACTCACTAAAATCACAATATGCTTACTGCCTCAAATCTACTTTATGCTATCGAACTTAAGCAGAAACAGATTTTTATGTGATGAAATATAACACCAAAAACATCTAAATGTAGCTCACACTGATACAGACACAACCATAGCTGTAGAGCCTTTGGTTTCTGTTTCTTGAAGCCATCTTGAAGCTTTTTGCACCTGCTTTCTGGCGTGGTGCCATTGTTATGCCTGTAAGCTGTATGTTAGTTGGCTTGAGTCTTTTTTGTGAGCAGAAAAGGGTTTCTCCACTCACCAAAGGTTTTCCATATCAACAAGGGTCATGATAGACCGATTTGTTAACATTTGTATATATATATATAGATATATACATACACACATATATATATATACACATATTGGTGATGTGGAATGTCCAGTTGGGATCATTGTTCACTTTAAATAACAAATACCTCCTCACTTGCTCTAAGCTCTCTGATAATAATTTTTCTGGTAATATTCTTGTGTATCATTGATTTTTATCCGTTCATGACACACAGTTCTACAAGCAGTAAAGCAGCAGCACAGCATCATTTTACCTCCTCCATGTTTTACCACAGTCGTTTGCCTAAATTTCAACCCGTAAACTAAAACACGCCATTCCTAAAGGGCTCTTCTTTGTTTGTCCTTGGTCCATTTAACATTATCCCATAAAGAATGTAGCTTGTTTACAAGCATATCAAAGTCTTTGCAAACTTTAGGCCCTGCCTTTGTGGAAGCCCCTTCAGTAATGGCTTCCCCGTCTGGCCTTTTGCCAAATCAGCTTCATTATCCGTTATTATGCATTGTATAGTGCAGGGTGAGACCACAACTTGTTACATTCCTCAGATTTTTCCAATGACCACAGTTATACTCTATCCAAGCAGATAGATTTTAAATTCCTCTTATTTATTTTTGAGTTGTTCATCTTGTTTAGTAAAATGTCAAATGGCGTGATATCTGTCCATCCATTTTCTGGACCACTTATTCCATAATGGGGTCGCAGGGGGACTGGTGCCTATCCCAGTATCCAATGGGTGAGAGGGAGGGTACACGGTCTGCCAGTCCATCGCAGGGCAACACAGAGACACACAACCACAAACACAAGCAGGTTTTTGGACGGTGGGAGGAAGCCGGAGAACCCAGGCAGGAGAACATGTAAACTCTACACAAAAAGGTCCTGGTTCCCCCGGGAACTTGAACCCAGAACCACTGTTCCACCATAGCTATCAAAATGTATTGTGGGTAATGTATTGTAGAAGGTCATTCACATTTGCAAAGGTACCCCAAAGTGGTGATATCTGTTTATCTCTCTGAATCTGTTGATGTTTCCTCTTGATGGCATTTGTTTATTTATTTATTGATTCGTTTATTTGATAGGGACAAGTATGTTTCATGAAACATGTCACACATGTCACAACATTTTAGCTAAGGCTAATTCTCAATGCCTGTCCCCAGTTAGGCTTTTACACCAAAAAAAAAAGTGACTGTACACAACAGAACAAATCACACACTAAAACATCACAGATACAAGATCAGGACAGTTAGATTATTAATGTCCACATGTCTGACCTCTCAATAAAAAGTCTTTAAGTTTATGTTTAAAACATAAGACATACAGCGTTGAAAAGCTAATTGAAGTTCAGCGGTATAGTTGGGGGCCGGCATCCATTCCCTCCCCGGTGACAGAGCGCTAACCAAATCGGTGCTCTAATTTGATTCAGAGACAAAGTTACTCAGTCCACTGCAGGTCTGTAGGTGAACAAAAATATATATATGAGAGGAAAACATTATATCTATTTTTACTGACAGAAAATGCCATTGTTGTTTTTTATTTGATTGTTGTGCTTTAACATGAGAGAAACATGCTGCCATGTTCCAAGAATCTGATCTGAGAGTGGAGGAAGAACTTGTGAAAAGACTGGATGATTTGATTTAGCAAATATTGGAATCTGATATCTGTATTGGAACTTGAGCCTGATCCCCTTTCAACTTTTCCTCGGTGTTATTTTCAGGAAGCTGTAGACCTAACCATCCATAATTCCCCAACCAGACAGGACACCTTTCTCTTTTTTTTCTCTTTCTTACTCATTCCTGTTTCTACCAAAAACATCTAGAATGTTAGGCAGGCAGAGGACAAATAAGCGCCTCAGTTTTACCCAGAAAACTTGGTTAGACAATTTTAACAAGACGACATCGTGAAGAGTGCTCTCATTAACTGAATGTAGGAGCCATGGCCTACAAAGAGGTGAGCCTTCTCTAATTCTGTACCATCCCCTGTTTGTGCTTAAGGCCCTTTTTCTGGAGACGTTCCTTGATTTGACATTGAAATACCGCGGCGCATTGAAGAGACTGGCAAACCATATACGCTCCATTATTAAATGGAAAAAAAAAAGCGACCGCAAAGAAAGCCTCCATTATGAAACCAAAGCCATGGAGTTCACCGTCTCAGTCGAGTATGTCAAGGGTTTGTTATCATGATAACAACCTTTCGTATTCTGAACTAAAGCGGCCCTCAGTCACCAGGTACTTTTTCGCTCTGGAATGTTTTTCAGCCCTTTCAAGTGTTCTTTCATGGGGGCCAAAGAGGCATTGAGAGAGCTTCAGGACTGTGCTAGAGTAAAGATTGCTTAAATTAGTCCACCCCCGGCTCAGACACTTCCTTTATTCTGCCGGTCAGCATCTCTCTTCCCTGTTTAACCACATTCCCTGCACTCTATATCAGTCCCTTTTAAAACATGGGTATCCATCTGTGCTGTGAGGAATAGGAGAGGAGGGATATCACCCACAGTGATATCACCCACAGTGCATCTGACTGTTCAACTTACATCTTCAGTAGCACTTTGGCCACATTTAAACATGAGAATAATGTTATAGTGCTGCATCTGGAGCCACAGGTTCTGCCTCAGAGCTATTCATAAGCCAAAGGTGACATCTGCTGGCTGAATTACAAACTTAACCCCTCAAAGCCTGATCCAAGAAAAATAGGAAGAATATTGGATTTTTTTTAGTCTGAAGTCTTTCTTTGGCCCCTCAACAACATAGGAAGAAAAGAAAACCGAAATTTTTTTGGTATCTCTAGCTTTGAAACTGATCCATTTCATCAGAGTAAGATTTGTTAAAGCAGGGAAACGTCCTCGAGGATGGGAGGTGGACACCCCCCACCACATTTACTCAAATCACTTAAAATATATTTAAACTTTAAAGATTCTCAGTTTGTAATAGATCTGGAAAATGTGTGAGGTGGCGATTAAAATAGTGTCTAATGTTCATATTAGAACAAGGTGAGATGTATGTTATTTTTTGAACACATTATTGAAACAGTTGTTTCTAAGGCATTTATTCACAAAATGCATTTTAAAGTTATTATATAAAAGCAATATAAACTTACATATACAGTACATATGAATACAGAATAGAATATGGTAGAAAATTAAACACAGTTCATGACAGATATTTTTTTTTCTACTTTTATCTCAAGAAAGGTTTTATTTAAGTGTTTGATAATTTCCCCAGTCAGTTCAAATGAGATTTCTAAATTTCTTACTCATAGCAAGTAATTATATAATTGCAAGTATGGGAAAGAAATACTAAATAATTAAATAGACAAGACCAGACTTCTCCTTAGATCATGAGATGCTCAAGAAATGTACCAAAACATCTTGACAAAAAATAAGTTTCTTTGTGTCATCACACATGCAGACTTTTATCATGATAGTGAATTGTTTTGCTACATGGGTTCATTCTGACTTTATTTTCCATAAGTACATTATTCTTTATGCATGTCAAACATTTAATGCAAACAGTGCAGAGTCAATCCATCTTTAAAAAACATATTTTCAAGAAATCCTGTTGACGAAAAGAAAAGTACTGAGAGGTTTTGAACTGCAGTGTAAGTGAACAATCCAAACCTAAACTGCATTTAAATTCACATTAAAAACGCTCCCTATTCACATAACACACACACCGGATACAGGGTAAGCAAACACACCAAAACAGCCTACTGTGGAGACACAATTCAGGCATGAAAAAAATCACGAGCCCGGAAACGGCTTGACGGTGTATCTAAATCCGAACGTGAAATAATATTTGAAAACCCGGCTGAAGGTTTGGTCCCTGAGGCCGTATATCACCGGACTCAGACACTTGGGGAGGACGATCAGAACCAGGAAGAGAACGTACCTGATGTGGGAGGCTACGACGGGATGTAGGGTCAGCATTTTGCTGGAGTTGATCATGCTGAACAGAGTGGACAGGAGGCACAGGCACAGCTGGAGCAGATGTAGCAACACGGTCTTTTGCGCCTTGCTGCCGTTGTGAATATAAGAAGAGGCCGAACGCACGGTGATGACTATCGCAACGTACGTGTAGATGATAACCAAACTCACCAATACGAAATTGACTATGTTGAAGGTCCTGGTCAACGACTCGAAGATCTCCTGATGGAAGATCAGGCTCTTTTGGCAGAAGGTGTTCACGGTGAAGCCGGCCTTATCCAGCCGGACCAGCAGAAAAACCTGCGTGAGGGAGTCCAGAGAGGCCACGACCCACATGGCGGCGATGGCCACGCCGGCCGCCCTGGACGTGGCGACGGCCGCGTGCCTCAGCGGGAAGCAGATGGCCACGTACCTCTCCACGGACATCACGGCCAGGTTGAGCGGCGATATCTTGACCGTGATGGCCGCCAGCTCGGAGATGACGATGCACAGGTAGCCGACCATCCGGACCATGGCCAGGTACAAGACGTACAGCAGCACGGTCAGCAGCAGCAGGACCGAGTCGGTCAGGAGCAGGTGGCCAAACAGGACGTACCGAGGGGAGTCCAGGAAGACGGGACGCTTCAGCAAAGTGAAGACCATGACCCCGTTAACGTACAGGAAGAAGACACAGGGCAGGAAGGACAGCAGGGCTTTGATAGAGGTCTCAAACTGCTCCATCTGGGAGACCGTCGTCTCGTTCATGATTCTGCTCTCCATGAAGTCTCTGTAAAGGAAGAAAACACACAAAAACACACACACACACATAAATACACATCAGACTGGTCCTCAGCCAGTATCTGCAGAAGTTCTGAGCAGTAAAGCATGCACAAGATCATTTAAATGACAAAAATCTGCTATAAATGCTGCAATAAAGATCATTTAAATGACAAAATTCTG